CCCATCTGATGGCTGCCACAAGGGAATGCATCCCAGCATCTTTTTAGAGCTTGCAATTTTTCCAGAGAATTTGGAAATTTGGATAGTATCTGATATTTACAAGTGCCAACTAATGTAAACATTTAAAGAACACTGTAGGCATAATAAAAGTGTCCTGAAGCTTGATTTGCTCATTGCTGCCGGTTTGTGGGCGTTCTCATTGGACTGTAACTATGATTCTGTGAAGTAGACAGAAGGTAATTTTCTGTACAAACAAGGAAGCTGAGGCTCAGAAGCCATTATGCAACAGTTTATGAACTGCCTGTCCCACTAGGATGTGAGCTTCATGAAAGCAGGGTATTGTCTCTTTTCTGCAATACTCATAGCCCAGCTCCTAGAATAGTTTCTGGTGCACATTGGACACTGAATAGCTATTGAATTAATGAGCAATGAACAAATAAAAAGAATTTAAATCACGTGGCAAATAATATCTACATTTTTGTGTCACATATTCCTCATGTTTTTTCTCATTTTGATATATACAACATTTTGTGAAAGTAATATTATTACCTCCATTTTATGGATAAGTAAACTGAGCCTCAGAGACACAAAGTAATTTGCTTGAATTCATGTAACTCATAAGATGGAGAGTCAGAACCCAGATCTTCCTTGGATTGCTGGTTCATGTCGCTGTTCCACAAAGCCATTCAGCCACCGTAGTCATAAATAGCCACATCACCCCATCCTCCCAAATATTGGCATTTTATTCCGCAGATTAGTGTAACATGTCTCTATAGAACAAGTCTGCAAAATTTCTCTGTAGAAGGCCAGAAACTAAATATGTTAGGCTTTGTGAGCCACATTTTCTCTGTTACAAGTACTCTAATTGCCACTGCAACCTGAAAGCAGCCAAAGGCAAATGCAAATGTGTATGGTTGTGTTCCAATAAAATTTTGTTTACCAAAAGAGGCAGCTGCCAGATTTTGCTTGAGGATAGTAGTTTGCCAACCTCTGCCTTAGAAGACAGACAAATTACCTTATGTTTAAGTTGCTAGCTAGCAACTTTTAAACTCTTCCTTAGTCTTTGGATTGCCTTAATATTTCATAGCAGTGTTTGCTGTATACACCTTAAATTACTCGGAAGTTGCAGTGGTGTGCTAGTAAATGTTTAACAACTGGTTCTCTCAGGGGATCTAAAAAGTTTTGATGTGTAGTTTACCCATTTATGATTGTGTGGTATAAATATTCCCAGCATGATCAGTTTCAAGTCACCAAAGTGACATCACTGAACATGGTGCAGGGTGACATGCAGTTGGAGCTCATGTGTAGGTTTGGATTCTTTTGTTAGAAGTGACAGAAATCTCAACTAATCCCAACAATAAGTAGAATCTAAAAAGAAGAAAAAGTAGAATCTATTATGTTGCCTAACAGGCTAGAGAGGGTGGCTGCAGAATTCGTTAATTCAGTAGCTCAGTGACAACACTGAAGGTCCCAGGTTATTTTCATGTGGGTCTTGGCTCATTGACTGTCCTCAAGTTAGCATCCTTCATAGTTAAGAATTGGCTACTATAGATCCAGGTATCATATCCAGTATCTATAAGAAGAGGGGCTTGTTTCTTCTTCATGTCTTAAGAACAAGGAAACGTTTCCCAGAGGACTTCTCTTCATAGCTCATTGGCTAGAATTACTTCCCATTCTGTGTCTCATCACTGACTGACATGGGAATGGGAGACCAATCTAAACCCATTCCCTGAACCAAGGGACTGGGCCCAGATGGCCACTGGAGACAGCAGATAGAGTCGAATCTGAACAAAGCCAGGGTTATGATGGAATAGAGGAAAAGATGGACTACCAGCTCTGTCTGCTCCAGCAGGCTGTATGTGAAAGCAAAAATACAGGTATGGCAGATCTTTTAAAATAAGAGTTTTTCCTTGAGTGTTTCATTGTGGGGAAGGAAAAGTAGATGACTGTTAAAGCTACTTATTTATGACTCAAAGTTATATTTTGGAGAAATTTATTCTGAAGCTCCAGAGTGTTAGAGACACCTTTAGAGGGTTAATTTTGCTCTGAATTCCAAGTCAAGTCAGTGACCAGGCATGGTTCAGGGAAATACCAACGGTACCATTTAAAGAATTGCATTTATAGCTACGTCAGATTGTAATTCACATCATCCTCCTGGTGTGTCATTGGCAAGAATTATGTGTATAATTCATAGAAAAAAATGTTTATGAATTTATACCAAGGAATAAGGAAATGTAGTAGAAGCAGGACATTGGTTAGGAAAACTGGCCTTGCAATCAGACCAGGGTTCATAGCCCATTTTTGCTGCTTCATTATGTAAAAAATAATAAGGCAAATTACTTAACCTCTTTAACTTGAGTTTCTTTACCTATAAGATAAGGATAAAAAAATACCTATTCTTTTTTGTTTCTTGTAAGGATTAAATGAGACACTATCTATAGTGATGCTTGCTAGGAACTTGGCCTGTGGCAAGTGCTTTGTAAACAGCAGCTCTATATCATTGTTATTTTCACTTAGCCCCAACAGCAGTATTTTGGCTGTTACTAATCACCAGGCCAGTGTTTAGCAATATTATTTCCAATAATAACTTTTATTTTTCTCTTTGTCAGTAGGTTTAGTATTTATTCCAGTATTGGTCTCCCAGTACTTTTAATATTATAGATCTAAAATTTCAATATAAAATTATAAATGTATAATTTATAATTATAGATTTATAATTTCAGTTGTCCACTTGATCACCTTTGTTAGTCTCCCCAAAGTCACGGAATGGTTAACAGGATGAAGATGGAGGCCTAAGGCTTCAAAGAGAGCAAACCTAAATGATATGTGTGGGAATCATTCTTTTTACCTTGGCCTCACCACCCCTGCTCTCTATGTACTCTCTGAAATCATAAGCCACCAGTTTGTTCCAGTGGCTTCAAAGATGCACATTTACGAATTTTTGTTGTAAGCCATTTTCTTGAGAAAGATGTGGTCTTAAAGTAAATGTTTTTTATTAGACAATTTGTTTTGCCCATAACTTATCAGGTGGTGCATAGTCTTTGTTCGTCAAATAATCCATACGTTGTCATAGTTGAAATGACATTTCATTTAATTAATGTTAAGATTTCTTCCAGTGATCACAACAAAATTATAAAAGCAACTGGGTAATTTGTTCAATTCTGTAGAAAAAGTAGATGTTGAAACTCTTCTTTTTCCTCTCAAAAAATTCATCCCCAACTCTAATTTAGCAGCCTGTTTGACAAGCCGTGGAATACCTTAAGAAGTACCTTATCTCACAGTTTCTGCAGGGCCTGAATCCAGAAATAGCTTAGCTGGGTCCTTGGCTAAGGATATCACAAAGCTGCGGTCAGGGTGTCAGTGAGACTGTCCTTAACTGGAGGCCCAATTTAGGAGAAAATCTGCTTCCAGACTCACTTGGGATGTTGGCGAAGAAGCGAAAAACAAAAGGCCCTAAGATCTTCAGGTTTTCTTGCTGTCTGTTGGAGGCTGCCTTCAGCATCTACAGGCTATCCACAGTTCCCTGCCAAATGGCTTTCTCCTAGGCATACAGCATGGCAGTTTGCTTCTTCAAGGACAGTGAGAGGGTGAGAGCGGCTAGCAGGCCTGAGTCTTATATAATATGATGTGATTACAAGAGTCAGGTTCCATCACAGGTGCCATATTCTGTTGGATAGAAGCAAGTCACAGTTTCTCCCACAGTCAAGGGAAGGGATTATGTAAAGATGCGAACAGCCAGAGCCAGGTCCACAGGGGTACCTTAGAGCCTGCCTACCACAAGAAGCTTTGTGTATTGTGACCACTACTGAATCCTTAGTGCCCTAAAACGGTGCCTGACACATGTTAGGGATTCAGTACATATTTACAGTTGAATGAATGAATGAATGAATGAATGCAGATATTGCTTCCTTGAAGTATGTATTGCTAATGTTTTTTTTTTTCCAAGCCTGTGGCTTACCTTTTGGTTTTGTCTATTAATCACGTTTTAATACAGAAATGTCAAATTTTAATTTAGACAAATTAACAATTTTTTAAAATCTTGGTCTCAGGGAGTTCTCCTCTCTAGAGCACAGATCAGTATTTGCCTATATTTTCACCTAGATTTTTAGCTACTTCTTTATTTTTCTACATTTATCAATTTATCTGGAAGGTCAAGAGCTAAATGGAGAGTTGGACAGAATGTGGTGAATAATACTTTTCTTCTTCACTGGTTTTTTACATTTTATTTAGATTGCATTAAAATATTATATACTAGCTTCTGGCTCTCTACTTTGTCTCATTTATTTGTCATTCTCTTCTTACTTCAATTACAGCTTAAACATTATAGCATTTTAAAAAATGCCAAGAAGTTGCTGTCAGACTCATTCAGTATAATAATTAGGCTATGGAATAAGCTGTTGTAACGGAGAGACTCCAAAATACAGAGGCACAAATAAAATGGATGCTTGTTTATCTTTTGTGTAACAGTGAAGAGATGTGCAGAGTCCAGAGTAGGAGGGCAGGTCTCCCCAGAGTCATCTGAGGACCCCGGCTGCTTCTGTCTTGTAGCTCTGCCAGCCCCTAGACTGATGTCCTGGTCTGTGTGGTTTAAGTGGTTTCATATCCACATCCATCTTCCAGTCTGTCGGAAGAGGGTGCTGGAAGTCCTCGAAAGGTACCTTTGCCTTTGAGTTGATGAACCAGATGTGGCACACATGACTTCTGCTCACATCCCTTTCATGGAGACTACACTTTATTGCCACAACTATCTTCAAGAGAGGCTAGGGAAAAATGGTATCAAATAGAGTAGACATGCATTTGACTAAAATTTGAGAGGTTCTATTGTCTTTTTAAAAAAGAAAGCATGTACCAAGAACAACAAATGGTCTGCCTCAGTCTAGCATTCAGAGTTAAAAATAATCATATTTAAAAGGAAGTAATGATCAATTTTACCAAGTAAAAAAGAATCAACCTTTGAACATAGTAAAAAGGCATAAATATGTCCTGATTTTTGGTTTTAGATGGCGAGTAACCCATGTGCCACATAGCACTCTATGCCAACCTTGAATGCCAACAGGAAGTCACTAGACAGCAAACTCTTCGAACATCATAACTTAGTTGTTGGAGCAACCTGGAAAAGAAGAAGAAAAAAAAGCCATGGCAAAAGTAAATAGAACTCGGTCTACCTCCCCTCCAGATGGAGGCTGGGGCTGGATGATTGTGGCTGGCTGTTTTCTTGTTACCATCTGCACCCGGGCAGTTACAAGGTAGGTAGAATTTTCTTCTTGACTTACTAAGATGACCTGGCCTCCCCCTCCCCCCTCCCCTCCCCTCCCTTCCCCCTCCCTCCCCCTTCCCCTCTTTCCCCTCCCCTCCCCTCCCCCTCCTCATCTTCCTCTCCCCCTTCTTCCTTCCTTCCTTCCTTCCTTCCTCTTTCTCTCAATCTCTCTCACTCTCTTTCTTCCATCTAGCTCTGTCACCAGGCTGGCATGCAGTGGTGCGGTCTCAGCTCACTGCAACCTCTTCCTCCCTGGTTCAAGCAATTCTCCTGCCTCAGCCTCCCAAGTAGCTGGGATTACAGGCATGTGCCACCATGCCCAGCTAATTTTTGTATTTTAGTAGGGAGGGGGTTTCACCATGTTGGCCTGGATGGTCTTGATCTCCTGATCTCGTGATCCACCCACCTCGGCCTCCTAGAGCGCTGGATCACAGGCATGAGCCACCGCAGCCAGCCCTGTCTTTTCTTTTAAATCTGCTTCATTCTGTTTCTGAATCCATCATTGTGAAGGGGTGTGTGTGTGTGTGTGTTTCCATTGACTGCTCAAGTATCAAGTATCTTTTTTTTTTTTTTTTTTTTTGCAAAGTATGTGATTCTCTGGCACTTACGAGTCCCAGATAGTGGTCTTTTCTATAATATCTGGTACTTAAACCTGGAGTCTTGGGACATTTTTAGACCGATGCTGTGACCATTCCAGCCATTCATTTTCATAAGCGGCTCCAGAGATGTGGAAATAATGTAACATGTATTTCTTTTTCACTGTTCATTAATATGAAATATTTAAAACTCATCACATATGAAATAACATGGGAAATGTCCTACAGTATTTTCATGATGAAATCACTTTTCTGAGGATTTTATTGGCAATTGCACACCTGGAAAGGTAAGTTAGCTAAAGCTGGCATAGCTCCAGGGGAGGGTAATATCATTTCTGCAAGTCTGTTTCTCCAGAATTTAAAAATCTGTCATTTTGATGATACGTGTAAGTTAAGACTGATTTTATTCATTAAAGTTTTACAGAGCTAATAGGATGTGTGATCTATATTTCATAAATCAAGAAAAACACTATAGGCAAACTGATGGCAAGAGATTATCATCATAATGGTGCGATGTGGCTTTAAGTCTAGGGATGAGGAAAAGGGGTGCCGGTTACACAGGATTAAGGTATATATTCAACCAAGGCCAAAATAATCCTGGAAAACTCCTTGGCTCCCTAGGACTCACTGAGCCTTTGGAAGCTTAAAACCTAGAATTTAAATTATTTTGCTTTATTTTGCATTGTGGCTGTTGTGGGGAAGGCTGACTTCTAGGTTGATGGAGAGCGAAAGCATAGATACAGGGATTCTCTCGTTCTTGCCTGCTCTCTTCTCCCTCTTTCTTTTCTCCAAGGTCACAGTGTTGAATATGCTTAAGTAAGATGCATGTACATTAAGACTCATCCATCTCATTTATATTTGGAGTAAATATGCATTTGGAAACCTACATGTGTTAGTGCTTTCCTCTACAAGTGCTTTCATTCAAATAGAAATCTTTATTTCTCTCTTCTGACAGCAGACCCTTACGAGAAAGTAATTTGGCCTAATTATTTGATGGCATCATCAATGCAGGCATCAATATTCCTCCCATAACAAAGATACAATGCAGGATAGAACAAGATGTTTATATTTGCTGCAGTAAGGGTTGGTTGATTATGTGTCATAATAAATTACAGATTTATTTAAAATAATGTAATTGATGCTGAGTGATTTTACACTGTTGGTGGGAATATAAATTGGTTCAATGATTGTGGAAGACAGTGTGGTAATTCCTCACAGACCTAGAGCCAAAAATACTATGAAATGTGATTCTTTTTTTTTTTTTTTTTTTGAGATGGAGTCTTGCTCTGTCACCCAGGTTAGAGTGCAGTGGCACAATCTCAGTTCACTGGGCTCAAGCAATCTCCCACCTCAGCCTCCTGAGTAGCTGAGATTACAGGTATCTGCCACCATGCCTGGCTAATTTTTGTATTTTTAGTAGAGCTGGGGTTTCACCATGTTGGTCAGGCTGGTCTTGAACTCTTGACCTCAGGTGATCCACCCACCTCGGCCACCCAAAGTGCTGAGATTATAGGCATGAGCCACCATGCCCAGCTGAAGTGTGATGCTTTTCTTTTTTTAAAAATTATACTTTAAGTTCTGGGATACAAGTGCAGAACATACAGGTTTGTTACATAGGTATACGTGTGCTATGGTGATTTGCTGCACCCATGAACCTGTCATCTACATTAGGTATTTCTCCTAATGCTATCCCTCCCCTAACTTCCCACCCCACCTCAACAGGCCCTGGTGTATGATGTTCCCCTCCTTGTGTCCATGTGTTCTCATTGTTCGACTCCCACTTATAAGTGAGAACATGTGTTGTTTGTTTTTCTGTTTTTGTGTTAGTTTGCTGAGAACGATGGTTTCTGGCTTCATCCATGTCCCTGCAAAGGACATGAACTCATCCCTTTTTCATGGCTGCATAGTATTTCATGGTGTACATGTGCCACATTTTCTGTATCCAATTTATAATTGATCGGCTTTTGGGGTGGTTCCAAGTCTTTGCTATTGTGATCAGTACTGCAATACACATATGTGTACATGTGTCTTTATAGTAGAATGATTTATAATCCTTTGGGTATATATCCAGTAATGGGATTTCTAGGTCAAATGGTATTTCTGGTTCTAGATCCTTGAGGAATTGCCACACTATCTTCCACAACGGTTGAACTAATTTACACTTTCACCAACAAATGGAAAACATTCCAAGCTCGTGGATAGAAATAATCAATATTGTGAAAATGGACATACTGCCTGAAGTAATTCATAGATTCAATGCTATCTCCATCAAGCTACCATTGACTTTCTTCACAGAATTAGAAAAAAAACTACTTTATGTATTTCATATGAAACCCAACAAGAGCCCGTAGAGCCAAGACAATCCCAATTAAAAAGAACAAAACTGGAGGCATCACACTACCTGACTTCAAACTATACTACAAGGCGACAGTAAGCAAACAGCATGATACTGGCACCAGAACAGATATATAGATCAATGGAACAAAGCAGAGGCCTCAGAAATAACACCCCACGTCTTCAAACATCTGATCTTTGACAAACCTGATGAAAACAAGCAATGGGGAAAAGATTCCTTATTTAATAAGTGGTGGTGGGCCACATGTTCTCACTCATAAGTGGGTACTGAACAATGACAACACATGGACACAGGGAGAGGAACATCACACACTGGGGCCTGTTGGGGGATGGGGGAACTAGGGGAGGGATAGCAGGGGGTAGGGGTATTGGGGAGGGAAAACATTAGGAGAAATTCTTAATGTAGTTGATGGGTGATGGAGGCAGCAAACCACTATGGCATGTATATACCTATGTAACAATCCTGCATGATCTGCACATGTACCCCAGAACTTAAAGTATAGTTAAATAAATAAATAAATAAATGATACTGGGAAAACTGGCTAGCCGTATAGGAAGTGTAATTCTTAAGAGGACCTCTGTAAGAGGAACTGGGAGACAATCATCCCTTTAACATCGTGACTTCTCATCACTGATACTACAGCTCCCTGGACATTAAGAGGTCTAGATTATGAGTCTGTAATATGAGTCTATAAAACTTACCTGTAGTATGAGTCTTGTGTTCTAGGTTTGAGGAAGTCATGGAGTTAAAAGGAATCCCTTTCATCTTGGTCCTTCATGTATAAGCTTCCATCATTCCCATGATGAGGGAGTTCTGGAAGTGGGCACAATGCTTTAGAAGGAGGGATTATACTGGGATCTTGAGTATTCATGATAAAGTTGCACTTTTGTAGAGCTGCCCGTAGTGCCTTTGATTGAGAGACTAAGATAAGTCTCCCAATCACATTGTCTCATGTAAGCCTTGTGATTTATTCACCCTGTCTTTAAGAGATTAGGATACTAATGCTTAGAAAGATTGACTTGCCTACATTTGTTTTTGTCTAGTAGGACAAACCTGGACTGGAATTCTTTTTTTTTCCTTCTCATCTTGTTTATTTGTCATTGTACATACAGTCATAATCCATTGACTCTTGAAACACACACACACACACACACACACACACACACACACACATGCTCACAAACACAGAAACCACTATTATTTTTTCCAATACATAACTAGTTTCCTAACCTATTCTCATGCATACACCACACTTCTACTTGCCCCTCAGTATACACTACACACACAAGCATACACACGTATACACACACAAACATGCGAACTCTGCAGCTTATCTTTTAGAACAGCTGTGTATTATAAGAAATAAGTTTTTTTGTTTTTTTTTTTTTTTTGAGATGAAGTTTCGCTCTTGTTACCCAGGCTGGAGTGCAATGGCGCAATCTCGGCTCACCGCAACCTCCGCCTCCTGGGTTCAGGCAATTCTCCTGCCTCAGCCTCCTGAGTAGCTGGGATTACAGGCAGGTGCCACCATGCCCAGCTAATTTTTTGTATTTTTAGTAGAGACGGGGTTTCACCATGTTGAGCAGGATGATCTCGATCTCTTGACCTCGTGATCCACCCGCCTCGGCCTCCCAAAGTGCTGGGATTACAGGCTTGAGCCACAGCACCCGGCCAAGAAATAAGTTTTTTAAAACAACTGCCTTGGTTGTGGGAGTCATTGTCTTAACATGGGCAACCTCTTAATATAGAAGGAGCTGTCATATCAGCAATGAGAAGTCATAGTACCAAGGAAATAAATGTCTCCAAATTCCTCTTATAGAGGTCCCCTTAAGTATCACACTTCATTTGGATATGTGCCATTTTATATATTCATTAGTCATATTTTTTATTCTAAGAATTGCCATATCAAATTTTTGCCTGTATTTCTTTGGATTTCTCTCCCTGTTTTCTTACACTTGCTCTATAGAAACACTTTAAATATTAAGGAGGTCAACCATTTGTAAGTGTGTGTGTGTGTGTATGTGTGTGTGTGTGTGGGTGCCCAAATAAATAGTTTTCCCTACTTTGAAAAAACAAACAAAAAAGAATTACGCTTCATGGTATTTCTAGTTCTAGGTCTTTGAGGAATCACTACACTGTCTTCCACGATGGTTAATTTATATTCCTGCCAAATGTGTAAAAGTGTTGCTATCTCTCTGCAGTCCCACCAGCATCTGTTGTTTCTTGACTTTTTGATAATCACCATTCTGTCTGGTGTGAGATTGTATCTCATTGTGGTTTTGATTTGCATTTCTCTAATGATCAGTGATGTTGCAGTTTTTTTTTTTTTTTTTTTTTTTTTTTTTAATAAAGATGGGGTTTCACCATGTTGGTCAGGCTGGTCTTGAACTCCTGACCTCAGGTGATCCGCCCGCCTTGGCCTCCAAAGTGCTTGGATTACAGGAGTGAGCCACCACACCCGGCCATGCACTTTCTTCATATGTTTGTTGGCCGCATAAATGTCTTCTTTCCAGCAGCGTCTGTTCATGTCCTTTGCCCACTTTTTAATGGGGTTGTTTGTTTTCTTTTCTTGTAAATTTAAGTTCCTTGTACACTGTGGATATTAGACCTTTGTCAGATGGACAGGTTGCAAAAATTTTCTCCCATTCTGCAGGTTGTCTGTTCACTCTGATGATCGTTTCTTTTGCTGTGCAGAAGCTCTTAAGTTTAATTAGATTCCATTTGTCAGTTTTTGCATAGAAATACCATTTGACTTAGCAATATCATTATGGAGTATATAGTCAAAGGAATATAAATAATTCTATTATAACATAAACATGTATGCACACATTTGTTCATTGCAGCCATATTCACAATAGTAAAGACATGGAATCAACCCAAATGCGTATCAGTGATAGACTGGGTAAAGATAATGTGGTACATATACACCATGGAGTACTATGCAGCCATAAAAAGGAATGAGATCATGTCCTTTGCAGGGACATGAATGGAGCTGGAAGCCATTATCCTCAGGAAGCTGACACAGGAACAGAAAACCAAACACTCTGTTTTCTCAATCATAAGTAGGAGCTGAACAATGAGAACAAATGGACACAGGGAGGGGAACAACACACACTGGGGCCTGTCTTGGGTGGGGAGTGGGAGGAGGGAAAATATCAGGAAAAATAGCTAACGCATACTTGGCTTAACACTTAAGTGATGGGTTGATAGGTGCAGCAAACTCCCACAGCTCACATTTATCTATGTAACAAATCTGTACATCCTGTACATGTAACCCAGAACTTCAAATAAAATTAAAAAAAAATAAAAAAAATCATACTTCATATATAATTGCAGGCTATTCTGTCCATAGATTGGCCACTTGAGTTGGAGTTGATACTTAAAAAGCAATGTTTGATGTAAATGTCCAAAACCTTGTCCCCACTCCAGGTTTGGGACCTATTTTTCTCTAAGTTTACTGGGTCTAAATCAACATAGTTGCAATATATGTCTAGAATCTAATGGGATTGTGGAGCTCTTTCAAACTCTCTTAACAATAGTTGAATTCCCACAAATAATTGCTCACTTTAGCTGAGCACTTACCTTGTGCTTGTTGGCATCTTCAAGCATTTTTTTATGAATTAAATCCTTTAATCCTCATAACACACAGCAGTTGAAGAACATGTCTAAGGTCCCATGGTTAGTAAGTGGCAGAATTTTAGCCACTAGGCTGCACTGCTCAGTGGATCAGTTCTTGTATTGACTTAGTGGATAACTTTCTCAACCAGAGAAAAATCTTTATGAAATGCCAGATGTTGTCAGCACTCACCGTATAGAAGCCAGAGCAAAATTTTACAGCAGAGTGGCAAGATTGAGACAGCCAGCATGTTGCCCCCCCGGGAGGAGCTATCTTTGAGAATGTCATTTCATAACAGGTGACACTTGGTGATAACTTTGTTTCCACATTCTTAGGAACAGAGCCTACAAACCCTGAAAGCTATTAGGAATCATTTGCTACTGCAGCACAATCCAACCCATTCTGACTGATACAGTCTTGTTTACCAAAATGCTTATTTTATGGATGAGGAAACTGAGGCCCTGAGGGATTAAGAAGCTTTATCAAAAACTCTCAGTTACCTAGGGTGAGGATCAGGGATCAGAACTCTGCTCCCCTGTAATTGCCCAAATATTCTAAAGAACAACCAAAATAACAAACATAATTCTGGAGTGAGATGCTCACATTCTCCCAATAAAATTTCATTTATTTAAGATCATGAAACTACTACTTGAAAAGTTCTGTGGTGCTTTTCCCCTTTGAGAACAGATAAGAAGTGATACAGTATTCTTCCCGTATTTCATGAATGTCACAGTCATTCAGAAGCCTGTATGTGGTTATTAGAAAGTTTGCCTTTGTTAAGCCTGGTTGCATGTCTAGACAAGAATTTCAGGTATTAATTTTGATTTCTGTATATCTAAAGTTTGACTTATATGACTAATTAAGTCATATAAGAAAACCAGCAGGCAGAAAACAAAGCAAGCTTTTAAAAAAGTGACAAAGGACAGACATGATTACACAAATACTAAGTCCCGAAAACAACTTAGTGAAAAGAAGAGATTATGATTTATAATTTGAAAACATCATTATCTGGGGCCCTTTTCTCTTAGACATCGCGTGTTTCTCTTAAATCTCCAGCTTCTGCATCGCCATCTGTGGATTTACTTGCTCAGCTTATAACACTCATTTTGTTCATATCCCTACTTTTCCTCTCCTAGCCACACATTCCTATACAACTGCCATCCAGTCTTCCTCCTTCTTTCCTTTCTCATTCATAGTTCTTGAAGTTGCTATCAACCATTTTCACATCCTTGTCTTATAGTCACTTCCTCTACCAACTTTAATCCTTCTTCCCTCCCTTCCTCCTTTCCTTCTTTCCTGGCTTGCTTCCCTTATGAACACCAAGTACATGACAAGTAGTATGCTAGATACTTGGGATTCAGTGTGAGATAAGACAGATACTCTCTTTTCTGTCACAGGGTAACAGTCTAGTGAATATAAACAAATGCAAAGGGAATTGCCACACAGTGTGATAAATGTCCAGCATGTAGTTGAAACACCTAAGAGTGGAAAAAAGAGAGACTTGAGTGGCCATGGACACTTTCCTGGAGGACCGAACTATTGATACTAAAGAATGTGGGAGTTGGGAGAGCACACTAGAAAGCCTCTTGGGGCGGGGAGACACTTCTTTCCCTATCCTCAAGCTTATTAAATTGTAGATGTAACACACTTACCTGACACTGGCCTTGAGTCTTAACTGAACTCCCTTGAATCATGGGTCTAGCAGAACGCTATGCCTATGGGACATCTCTAACACTGTGTGTGAATGGTGCATCACAGAACTGCAGAAACACATATTGCATGTAACTCCTCTGCTCACATGAAGTCTCTATTGTTCCATTGCACTGCACTTATGAAACACAAATTCAAATATAAAATTATTAAGTTCAGTCAGTGACAGCCAAGCATTAAATCAAGTTTTGTGCTTCTAAGTGCCAGGCTCTGTGTGAATGTGCAGGCTGCACGCCCAAGAAGCTGTCCTTGCCTAACACAGCAGTCTTGTTTATGTTCTCTCCCTTCTTCTCCAAGCTCTTCCCCACCTACTTTCACACCCAGCAGCAACTGGAGAAGAGAGGGAGAGTGAAAGTAATAGGTTACTATGGATTGTTAAAGCACAATTAATTGGAACTTAGCTCCAAAGAAATTAATAACCTCTTGTTTCATCCCCAAGCCACAGGCCTGATTTCTTCCCGTTTTATCACTGGGCTCTAAAAGCTTCTTGCCTGAATGAGGACACCATGCTAATCCATATAAGTCTCTTCCTAGTTGTACAGGGATGCAAACTGTTGCTTCTGGTTCACATGTCATTCTCTGAGTAATTAGCTATTGTTCAATATAAATATTTCTTTCTCTTTCTTTGTACATACACACATACACACACATATATACACATTTCTGGTTACATAAGAAATCATGTTTATTGTAAAGTAATTCAAAATGCTGAATAAAGATTAAAACAATCATTTCTAATCTCACCGTTTACATGTAATGATTATGTACATTTTTAGTGTATATGCTTTCAGGAAATTTTCTGTTTACATAAACTGTTTTTACAAAAATAAGTTCTTACTATATAAACTATTTTGTAACTTATTTTGTCCTTAACATTATATTGCAAATTTATTTCCAAATCAATAAATACAGATCAACCTCATCATTTTTAAGACTTACTGTTTTATTTTATTGGTAGGCCATAATTTATTTAACCAGTCCTTTATTGATGAATAGTTAGATTGGTTATGATATTTGGCTATACTCCAGAATATATTCTCTTATATATGTATTATTATTATATCCCTCAGAATGTATTCTTTTGTATACATACATATACATATATATAATTTTGTGATGAAATTAGTTCTCCAGAATAATATATCCTTTTATCTCTCTCTCTCTCTTTCTCTATCATCTATCATCATCACCTGATTATTTCCTTTATACAAATCCTAAAAGTGACATTGCTGGTGATATATAACTCTTATTGTCAAATCTTAACTTGTATAACAACCTCTTAGAAGTTACAGTTGTTAGCAAAACACAAAAATGAATAAGAATCCATGTTCTTCAACTGCCTTTGTTTCCATAAAACCTTCCTTAGAACCATGGTCTTCACATCTACTTGGCTTTAGTACCCCCTGTGGTGGCTGAACACTTGTTCTTCTTGTTCTGCAGCATGATCCAAATAGTCAACTTCTGACTTCCCACTTATTATAGTCTAGCAATTAAAACCCTTCGAGACAGGAACAGCTAATTGAACCAAACATTTTAAGTTCTGGCTCAAATGCATGCTCATTCACTTTTTGTGTAAAATGCCTGCATTGTATTTTTCAGATGTATCTCAATTTTTTTTGTGGAGTTCCAGACATACTTCACTCAGGATTATGCACAAACGGCATGGATCCATTCCATTGTAGATTGTGTGACCATGCTCTGTGGTGAGTATCACTTATTACTGGCCATGCTTGAACTGTATATGACAATGAAGTTCCACTGACTTTGATTGCTAGTTTTCCCAAGTAGAAGGGCTACATTAAAAGCTGGCCAGAACTACATGATATAAAGGAAGGACCAATCCTACTTTCATCCAAAGCCAACCAGACTTGCTCTTGTAATTGATAGTCTTGGCTGATGTCAGGTAGACCAGTTACATAATACACTCAAAAGAACACATACGATTTGGTTATTTCTGATTTTAGAAGAAATTTAGAGTGTATGCTTGGCTTCTCTCTTCCAAATGCTATGGCCTTCTCATTCTCCAGTTATACAGTTATTGGATAGTACCATGAGCCCTTTCTATATAATCTCTTTCAATGAGTGCCAACAGTGTTGTATCATATCTCAAGTCTTGGATTGCATTCTGTTCCCTTTCTGAGGGTTTAAAATTTGACTGATGGATTTCATCTTTTTCATGTATAAATCTTCATGCTTAGAGAAGTATTGGGAAAGGATAGAATTGTGTAGTCATGAGATAAACACATTCACATATTCATTATGGCTGTGATTTAATTCAGGAAACCCTGAAGATGTTATATAAGGCATGTAGGGTATTCTAGAAAGGTATGGAATTAACATTCCATCTATGTAGTAGAGGACAACGAAGCTGACTTTTTTAAAAAAATAAGTTTCAAACTAACATTATTAAATTGATGTCTTAGAGAGTTTCTAAGATTCAATCAAAAATTGTTTGTAGCCTAGACTCAATCTTTTCATTTAAATGAGTTCTGAGTATTTTAGGAAATTTTCATCTCTTCAAGCCATGTTTTAGTGGCAAAAGGGAAATAACACCTATGTTCAGTAACTCATAATAATGATTTTATTCCATTCTAAGTACTGACTCATATTCTTTTTGGAAAAAAATACACATAGGAATCAATTGAATTGTACTGAAATGTATAATATTTGTTTGATTCGGAGGAAGTTGAGAGCAGTTCTAAGACTAAAAGCAGGTTTTATGCGAAGGCTAAATCAACTCAACTCTTTCAACTATTAAGAAGGTCTTAAGAGATCAAAAAATCATATATTTGAGTTTTAGAATATTAAAAAAACACAAAAACCCTTGATTTTCAGGGTCTCATTATTCATAGCCTTTGTATCAGCATGCCAAAGAAGCCATGTTTGTCTTCTCAGAAGATAAAGATGATTCATTTTCCTCACTGCTATCTTTTGGAGGAAATTCATAATTTCCCAAATAGGGGGAAATGACCTTGGGTGACCAATATGGTTATAATGACTGTGTGAAGCTTTGAGGAGGGTTGTCAGAAGCAACATATTTAAATTCTATGAAAGACCAAGGTGGCTGTTGTACACAGTTACCATATACCCATCTACTCACTTTGTGACATAGTATTAAAACATTAAAGTTCTGAGTATGGATGAGAGTCTGCAGAATCACATCTGGGACACCCACTGGAAACAGATCTGCTCTGTGATGAACAGAGAGGCTAACAGTTGAGCTGGCTCCCAATTTAAGTATGATAGATACAAAAATGATCATACTCTACAGACACCCAGAAAATCAGTTCTTCTGATCTTGCTACTAAGAGTTATTGATGTCAGCATGAATTTTTCCTTAGAAAGAAATTCACATGCCTTCATCACCCATCACTCCTGCCGTTAGTGTGAGAGACTCAAAGAGTAAGGGGGTGAAATAACCTCACACTTGGTGTTAGGTGCTCTTGTTGGTGACCTTGGGCATTCCATATACCCCTGAGCTTCAGTTCCTTTTTGGCCTCTTCTAGCTTTTCTTAATATTCTATGAGTCTTGAAGTCAACACAATTCTGATACATTGGCAAGTCACAAATCAAGTGAGACCAACCAAAATGTCACCATGGTGTGAAGCATTTTTCTTAGATTTTCTGGGCTTTGATAGCTCATCCACAGGGCATGCTGAAGGCTGAAAGCAGTGCCAGATTTTGAATTTTGTCTATGATCTCTTGCCCTGGTTTTTTGTCATATAACACTGCTGGTCACATGGTGTTGTCCACTTTCTTTCTCCACCAATTAACTGTTACCATTATTGCTAATGATATATGATCAATACTATAGTAAACAATCTGGTACAAGTGACATGTAATTTAGAGAAAGTTGATCAACCGTTTAAAAAACACCCTGCAATCCTGCCATTATGATAGAATGAAGAGGAATGAGCACTGAAATGCAGGTCAGGAGACTTGAGTTCTATTCCAGCTCTGATACTTATTATCTGTGGGATGATGGACAAGTCACTTCCTTTCTCTGGGCTTTAGTTTCCAAAGCTGCAGAATTAAAAGGGTGGGCTCAATGCCTTAAAGGTTCTCTGCTGTGTCAATGCAGCACCACAGGCTTTTCACAGTACTCTCAAGGCTTTCCTGTTGAACCTATTTCTTATTGTTTTTGAAGCTCCACTTGGGAGTGTTGTGAGTAACCATTTATCCTGTCAAGTGGGAATCATGCTGGGTGGCTTGCTTGCATCTACTGGATTCATCCTGGGCTCATTTGCCACAAGTCTGAAGCATCTCTACCTCACTCTGGGAGTTCTTACAGGTAAGGGCACTTTATACTATCTGTGTCACCCTATTCCATCCAGGGGTTGCCAAGCACATCAACAGAGAAGTAATTCATAAAATATTCATTTTGTTAGATGCATAATTTAGTTGACCTAGCCTATGTCTACCTACCTAGCAGTTAAACAGAGCTAGAAATGAGATTACACTACCCTAATGAAAATGCATCACCAATTTAATTCAGCCAGATGGTAAAAGCAACACAGCTTCCTCTTTGGAATTAGTGTATGGCTGAGATTCTGTATTCAGAAGAAACAACATGTTACTCAGGGCAACATGAATTTTCAGCAATGATCATTCTTCCAACCATTGCCAAGACATTAAAATACTATTGATGGTAAATCTGCATTGCTCCTACTTTATAAGAAATACCACTGTCCAATAAATGGGAGTTTCTAATTTAAAAAAGCCCTTTATTGTGAATATTCTTATATTACACATTCTCAGTGCTATGGACGTATCACTTTAGCAAATTATAATGAATCCCGTGGGAAAAAGGCAACATGTGCATTCAGTAAATCACACTTACAGGGACTGCATAGGAACAAGATGAGTTGGCTGGTGGGACTGTAGTAGGAGTTTGCCCATCACTCAAAGGGGTGTGGAGAGTAGCACCAACTCCTGCCTGGGCTTTGGGCCATTGGTGTGGCATGAATCAGGTCAATAAATGACATAACCTCATAGCAAGGCTATAAATTTGGCTGTGTTAGCTAAAGAAGGTACATCCACCCCTAAAAACCCCAAACAGCCTGACTGCTGCTATGGTGACCAATGGATCCTAGTTTACCACGCACTGTCCTGGTTTTAACACTGAAAGTCCCACATCCGGAAACCCCTCTGGGTCCAGGCAACTCTGGGTTGCTGGATACCCTGAACTGCAGATGGAAGCAGGAGCTTCTGAAGGTGGTTCTCCTTTTCCTTCTCTGACATTCTAGCTGCCATAAAATCCAGGATCAAAGCCCTTCAAATTTTCTTTACTTAAAAAGTAATAAAGTTGAGTTTTTTTTTTTTTAAGACAGGGTATATCTAGCTCTGTCCTCAGGCTGGAGTGCATTGGCGCAATCTCAGCTGCAACCTCTGTCTCTTGAGTTCAGGTCATCCTCCCCACTCAGTCTCCTGAGTAGCTGAGGCTACAGGCACAGGCCACCACACTTGGCTAATTTTTGTAGGTTTTTTTTCAGAGGTGGGGTTTTGCCATATTGCCTAGGCTATTCTCAAACTCCTGAGCTCAAGTGGTCTGCCTGCCCTAGCCTCCCAAAGTGCTGGGATTACAGGCATGAGCCACTGCACTCAGCCCAAAAGTTGAAGGTCTTTAAAAAGCTTTCTAGAGTGTCAACATTTGTCTACTGACCTTAAGAGGTATTTTCACATATGAAAATATACATTGCTGTGTTCACATATAAAATTGGCATGATGTTTTCCAACTTTGTAAAATTACCCTGGAATTTTCATAGTTATGTATGTTATTTGAATCCAAATTCCAGAGTGGTCACAGATTATCAGTGCTGTGCCTTCATAGGCAGTGAAGAGTTTAGGCAATTGTCTGGATAATTTAAGTGTAAAAATGGAGGAGGGATCAGTTTCCTTGGTTGGCATTATCCAAATTTTCTAGCGAATTCCAATTTAGTTTGTATAATGATTTTCATGTTCCTCATTTGATTTTGTTTATGAAGTCATATTTCCTTAAGGGTACTCTCCCTAAGAAGAAAATCATATGTATCCTACATTTTCTAAATCGTGAATGACTGGTGAAGGGAGACTCATTTTAAGCTTGATGTAAAAAGCAGCTTTAAAAGAGCTTAATGAAAGATGAGATTCTCTTTAATAAAATAATTGTTTTCTGAGTTATTTTCTCCCATTGGCTGTTTTGGTACACCAGCATTCATAGAGTTCTCTTTATCCCCAGGTCTTGGATTTGCACTTTGTTACTCTCCAGCAATTGCCATGGTTGGCAAGTACTTCAATAGACGGAAAGCCCTTGCTTATGGGATTGCCATGTCAGGAAGTGGCATTGGCACCTTCATCCTGGCTCCTGTGGTTCAGCTCCTTATTGAACAGTTTTCCTGGCGGGGAGCCTTACTCATTCTTGGGGGCTTTGTCTTGAATCTCTGTGTTTGTGGTGCCTTGATGAGGCCAATTACTCTTAAAGAGGACCACGCAACTCCAGAGCAGAACTATGTCTGTAGAACTCAGAAAGAAGACTTGAAGCGGGTGTCTCCGTATTCATCTTTGACCAAAGAATGGGCACAGACTTGCCTTTGTTGCTGTTTGCAGCAGGAGTATAGGTTTTTACTGATGTCAGACTTTGTTGTGCTGGCCATCTCCGTTCTGTTTATGGCTTATGGCTGCAGCCCTCTCTTTGTGTACTTGGTGCCTTATGCTTTGAGTGTTGGAGTGAGTCATCAGCAAGCTGCTTTTCTTATGTCCATACTTGGAGTGATTGACATTATTGGCAACATCACATTTGGATGGCTGACCAACAGAAGGTAAAATTCATGAAACCACAATTGGTTCCCCACCAGGGGACTCTAAGCCTTGAGTTTCTCCTCAGCCCCTTACCATGTGGAATACCTAGGTCTGAAAAATGTTAACAAGTCTGCAGTATCTGAAGTCATCTCCCTTGCTGGTTCTTCTAGATGAGAGATTGGCAAAATTTTCTACAAAGGGACAGATAGTAAACATTTTTGGCTTTGTGGGCCATGTGTTCTTTGCCACAACTATCCAACTCTGCTATTATAGTACAAAACAGCCCCAGACAATATGCAAACAAAAGAGAGTGGCTGTGTTCCAATAAGACTTTATTTATGGACACTGAAAGGTGAATTTCTCTTATAATTTTCTTGTGTCACAAAATATTTTTCTTTTGATTTTTTCCCAACCATTTTAAAATAAAAAAACATTCTTAGTTCACAGGTAATACAAAAAAAGGTTATGGGCCAGATGTGCCTCAATTGCAGAAGCCTAGGGTAACAACAAGTTCTGGTGGTGGATTTAATTCCATCCCAAGACAAGTCAGTCCTCAAGCAAGACAACTTCTGGCTGGGTGTGGTGATGTTAGTTTATTTTGAACCACTCCAGATTGACTAGCAATGGAAAAAGGAGCAGAATCCAGTTCAGGCAAGAGGATCAGGTGCAATGATAACACATTATTTGTAGTCTCATATTTATGTTTGACAATACAAACTGCAAATAATTTCCTTGTAATTATAGGCTTAGAAACCAAAGTTATAAGAAATCTACCAAGTAATTTCTTCAGCAAATGCTCATCTGTTTGGACTGAAGAGTGCAGGCTACTCATATTCTCCTAAATGATGAACTATTCACACTTGAGATGTGACCTGCAGAGCTAATACCATCATGGAGCTTCTGACAAATTATGTTTTTGGTAATTAATCAGGATCCAACTGCCATTCTCCAGTGTTATGAATATAATATTTAGTACTAATTCCACATTTTTAATTGTTAAAGGAGAAGGAGAAGACCAAAGGGTACCTATTTTCACAATCAAATAACTAGGCAAGAAGCAGCCAGGTATAGGTCTAATGGAGGCATGTCTAGTCTGAGGCATATAAGACCTAAGTTCTTGAGCTGTCTCTGCTCCTTATTAACACTGTGACCTACAGAAAGTCACCTAACCTTCAGATCCTCGATAATCTCTATCTGTAAAATGAGCCAGTGCAATATTTGCCTGTTGACCTTATATGATTTTGTGAGGTTCAAATGAGGCTTTGGGTAGAAAAATGTAAAGCATAAGCTGTTGAAGCTGACATTATACAGAGTCTTTGAAATAATGGATATCACAGATGGGTTTGAAGTTATGGGGAAAATTCCACTTTGGAAATCTTGAAATAAGACTTTATCCTATTCCAAGGCCTCCATCATCTCTGGCAAATCATTTTAATGTCTTTGTATTACAGTTTCCCCTTTGTGTAACCACTTAGGTTATTGAGTATTTATGATCTGTGATGTGCCAGATACCAATGGATAATATAACTAAAAGCCTCTAATATGGTAGACTTCTAGGAAAATTAGCCTCCTGATGCTTTACGTCAAGCTTGTCCAACCTGTGGCCCGTGGGCTGCATGCGGCCCAGGACAGCTGTGAACATGGTCCAACACAAATTTGTAAACTTTCTTAACAACATTTTGAGATTTATGCACACCCCCACTTTTTGTGTTTTTTTTTAGTTCATCAGCTATCGTTAGTGCTAATTTATGTGTGACCCATGACAATTCTTCTTCCAATGTGGCCCAGGGAAGCCAAAAGATTGGGTACCCCTGCTCTACATGTTATTTCATGACTGCTTTTAGAGTAACCCTAAAGATAGATAACCCTGAGATAGATAACCTTTCCATTTTATAGCTAAAGAAATTGAGTTAGGCAGGCAGTGGGTGGTAGAACTAGTTTTAATATTCTGCCTTTCTAATTTTGGGGCATATATTCTTTCTACCACACCATGCTTCCTAGAGAGATGAATTCTTGCATTTGTATAAAAGAAGGATAGGAAGACAGCATAGATAACATACAATGGGAACAGTATCTCTATAAGTAACTGCAAGGCTTACTGCTTCATAGCAGTGGTTCTAAAGCTCTTTTACAGAATGTGTACATCTTGTACTCATTTTTGTTCTTCAAATCTACAGGTGTCTGAAGAATTACCACTATATTTGCTACCTCTTTGCTGTGGGAATGGATGGGTTCTGCTATCTCTGCCTCCCAATGCTTCAAAGTCTCCCTTTGCTCGTGCCTTTCTCTTGTACCTTTGGCTACTTTGATGGTGCCTACGTGACCTTGATCCCAGTAGTGACTGCAGAGATAGTGGGGACCACCTCTTTGTCATCAGCGCTTGGTGTGGTGTACTTCCTTCACGCAGTGCCGTACTTGGTGAGCCCACCCATTGCAGGTAAGTTTCCAGAGAGAAACCCCAATCACCTCTTCTCTTTGGCATATTGATGTGAAAACAGCAAACCCACATGCAGTCAATGAGAAGGACTGTCAAGAGAGTTGGGGAAAAGCAAAAGAGAAAAGGGATATAAGAGCCCCCAAAACCATCATGGTTCCACCTACATCCTTGTTTTATAATCTTTTTCCAACCAAGTAGGAACCTTAGCCTACATGGAAAGAGTAAGTCCCAAATTAGGGTCTCGATTCCTTTCCATATTAATAATGGGAACGGGGGGATGGAGCAATTGTTTAGCCTTATATAAATAGGGCAAGCTGGGTGTGGTGGCTCATACCTGTAATCCTAGCATTTTGGGAGGCCGAGGCAGGCAGATTGCCTGAGCTCAGGAGTTCAAGACCAGCCTGGGCAACATGGTGAAACCTGAACTCTACTAAAAAAAAAAAAAAAAAAAAAAATTGCTGGGCATGGCAACATGCTCCTATAGTCCCAGCTACTCAGGAGGCTGAGGCAGAAGAATTATTTGAACCTGGGAGACAGAGGTTGCAATGATCCAAGATCGTGCTACTGCACTCCAGCCTGGGCAAAGAGCGAGACTCTGTCTCTAAACAAACCAATAATAAATAAATAAATAAATAAATAAATAAGTAGGGTACATTCAGAGGGAAGTCTTGCGGGAGAAAAGGATTCCAACAGGGGGAAGTGGGTGATGAGGCTGAAATTATAAATGCCAGTGTCGTAGTGGAGTGTTTTGGGAACTGGGCTCTAGTCTTCATAGACTATAGGTAGTATTAAAGTTTTTATGTAAAAGGATAATATGGGAAAGTATATGTGTTAGAAAATGTGATCTAGCAATTGATCTAGTAACTTAGGAGAGAGGTAGCTAGATTCCATTCTAATAGTTTAGAAGGCAGCTGATAAAGGCCTGAACTAGGGCTGCAGCAGCAGAAATGATGATGAGCTCTGGGGGAAAGGAGGAAGTTAAAAAAAAATTCAGCAGAATTTAGCATACAGAGGTAAATGAGAGAAAGAAGTCAAGGATGACTTAGAAAATAATATCATGGTTGAAAAAAATAAGGAAATGCAAGAAAGTGGCTTTGCCTGAAAAATAATGAATATGGTATTTAGATATGTTGAAATTTCTGAAATATACAGGTAAAAATGTACAATAGAGCTGTTTAAGGATGAAATATGAGCTTTAATGGATGGCCTGATTTGTATATAGATTTGGGAGTCATCATATAAAGCACCTAGAATGTTTTATAAACTCTAAAATGCTATAGAGTAAAGCATGATTAAACAAATAATTTGACAAATATTTATTGCATTCATTAAATAAGTAATTCAACAAATATTTACTGCTTGTATAACTACCATTGTGTTTATCATGCTGGAGAGAGACAGCAGTAAACAGGTTGGAATCTGTTTCTCCTTCCTAAAGCATGTGGTCTACACCACCTGCATGTGAGTCTCCTAGGAACCTTGTTAAAAATGCAGATTCCTTGACACTCCCACCTGTGATCTTAATGTTCAGGATGAGTTCCAGAATTCTACATTTTCAGCCAACTTTGTTGTGATGCCCATGCATGGTAAATAGTGAGAATTACTGTTCCATGTTAGTATCTGCCTGGATTAAAACTGAGAGAGTGAACAAGGGCTCTGCAGACAGACAAAAGAGAAATAACCCAAAACATTGCCTAGAAAGAAGGCAGGAAATTTTTTGAGGAAGGCAGGGTTTCTGCTTTTAGCTATTATTGTGAATAGACTGTTGCAGGCTATTTCCAAATCCAGCAATTGGAGTGGAATAAACACAGAAAACTAGGGGAAATTGTGGCCACTTGACTGGTGCAGATGAAAAATCCTGGTCAGTTTAAACTCCATGATATAGATCTTTATGTTTAATGCTCTGTTTTTGAAAACTGCCCCCAAAATGTTCCCACATCCTCCCTCCATAGCCTATTTTAGTGTTCACCAACCTTTAGAAACAGTGTCATTCTGTCAAAGGTCATAGGACACAAATGAAATTGGGATTCATGAATCCTTTCCTCACTCTATGGCCTTTACTGGCAAATCAGACATTATATTCATTACTGGGAATTAGAGGATTAAGACATGAGTTCTTATTGTACCATTTTCTTATTTATTTACCTTTCAAATGGCAACTGTCTACATAGTCTTTTCTGTTTGGTGCTATGGAAATGCACAAGTAAACAATAACTAAAATGTTTGAGAGTAGTTTAAATTTAGAAAATTTTGTGGGGCTTATAACAACTTCTACATGCCGTTTTTGACTAATGGATGTGAAGTGGGCAAGAGAAGAAACCATATACTTCTCTGATCAGTTTTTTTTTTTTTTTTTTTTTTTTGGCTGATAAAGAAAGTTTGAAGGAATTTAAAAAAACCCTTTTGTTCATTATAAAATAATTGCCTGACAAAGTATAATGTTACCCCACTGGTTTTCTAATCATTGTGTCATATGCCCTGGTTGTCCTCAAAATTTAGGTCTGAGATAGATATTGAGATTAATTTCTTGCAACAAGAGATAAAGAAAAAAAGCGACTTTGCATTTGCAACTTCTGAAATGGCCCAAAGTTCAGATTTTCAAACTGGATAGAGTACAATGACTGAATCCAGTTGAAAATGTGGATTCTGCTTTGAAGCATGTCATGTTACTCAAAATAGTATATGGGTGTTGTGAATACTACTGGCATTTTGTACAAATACATTCTCTTAATACCCTAGATAAATTATTCCAACTTTAATCATTTAAATGATGCTACTTTTAGCTTTCTACCAGATTTCATGGAGTTAATAGTAACTAATATTTATGTTTTGACTACCAAGTACATGATGCTCTTCCAAGTACTTTACATAACAACAATCAATTCACTTTAGAAGTTTTCCTGGAAAACAGAATGTATTTTTCAGTTGCTGCACAATATTTTTAGGTGACCTGCTTTTTGTCTCAAAATTACAATTGGCGGTGCTATCCATCCATTATTATCCTCACGAATAGTTAGAATTTGAGAGTGGGTAAACAACTGAATTTTCAGCTCAACATTATAATTTTGCTGTTGTTTGTTACAGGATGGCTGGTAGATACCACTGGCAGCTACACTGCAGCATTCCTCCTTTGTGGATTTTCAATGATATTTAGCTCTGTGTTGCTTGGCTTTGCTAGACTTGTAAAGAGAATGAGAAAAACCCAGCTGCAGTTCATTGCCAAAGAATCTGATCCCAAGCTGCAGCTATGGACCAATGGAGCAGTGGCTTATTCTGTGACAAGAGAATTAGATCAGAAACATGGGGAGTCTGTGGCTACAGCAATGCCTGGTTACAGTCCTACGTGACCAATTACCTTGAGCCCCAGAATCTTCAGGTTTGAGAGAGGTGGGGCCACTAGATTCTTCATGTTTCTGAAACTTTTTATTTTGGCAGAAGTATTATCTTCCAAGGAAATTATTATTGTTTCGTTACCATATTAATATTTATAAGGGAAAATAGCACATAATAAAGAAAGCTGGACTATCCCAGAGGCTTCTCATTTGGGATTTGTACTCATAACTGAACTCCTATCTTTTGGTCAATGAGCATGGCTCTACAAGAAATGTAAGGACACAACTGATATAATTAGCTGTAATTAGGGAAAATTTCAAGGCATAACCAAAGTAGATGACACTGGGCAGCAGCTTTCATCCAGTCTCAGCCCTTTCATGTTCCCTCCTCAAAAAGAAAATGGAAACAGTAACGTGTAGCTTTGCTTGCCTTGTTTGATTTGGAGAAGGAAGATCAGCTTGGGTGTGGTGGTAGAGAGCGAAGATACCATACCTTTTTCATGATGGAGTTTCTCATTAGGGTTTGACTTGGGGTTGTTAAAGGATACTCGAGATTCTTCAAAAGGTGGTGACTAATATAGAAAGAAACTCATTTTTTTTTCTCTTAGTCTTCCAGCCAGCCCTTGCCTCTGCTCAAGGGCAGACACCACTTTGAGAATCCAGATAATTGTGGAATGCCATGATTGGAATAGATCTTAAAGGGTGGCTGGTAAGATCTATTTGATATTGTCCACTGGAAAACTGAAAGCTCTTTTCCTAAGACTGAGTCCCAAGCTCTCACCTTTATTACCATCACTTATAATACTTACTCTAGTATGTTAGCAGAACATACTGAGGCACAAGGACAACCTCTCAATCTTACCTGAAATGTTAACAATACCAAACTTCTCATTTTTTACCTTTAGGGAAAAAGCTCTTAAACTGCAGACACATTCCTGTGAGGATGAAAAAATGTTGGCAGTATTCCAGTTGGGCAGGAATTGAATTCTTGAATCAGCAGGTCTCTGGTGAGAGTTTTCTTTGCAGATCAGACATTTAGTTTCATCACTGCCCAAAAGAGGATTAGAGAGGGTCAGTTATCTGAAAAATATTATCCTAGAGATATTCTAAAGGTGAGATTATTTTCTCCCTGTGTTAATTCTTGTTCCATTGTCCACTGCTTTTCATTTCTTTATGGGTAATAATTAGAAATCTACTTATTAGATTAGACATTTATTCACCCTCAAATACTCTACTTTTCTATGGTTTGGGATAATTTCTGAGTCTTCAGATTGAAGAGGGAAGGGAGGGAGGGAAGAAAATGTCCAGATCCCCCAGCCTGTCTCCAACCATTTTAAGTCTAAAGAATTATAATCCTCAATCCCACATCATGTCACACCTGTAAATAGGGGCAAATTAAGCAATCAATTTTAATTATTCTGTAGTTTAAAATCCAAATGTCAAGGAACTGTTTTGATCCTGAAGGCTGTTTAATCCACTGTCTCCTGTGAGGCCTCACAAGTGTTGGTGGTAAAGAAAACAGCAATGAGGAAGATCCTGGGTTACTGTGTATGTTCAGCAAGAGAGCTTGCCTATCCCTGGGTTATTTCATAAAATCACATGTTAATACATTGCTTTCAGAATGAAATACTGACTTGATTTGATAAGAGAAAATGGTAGTATTTCATAGTTATTTTCAAAAGAGAAATTTAAATGTTAACTGTTTTCTCCTTAGTTTAAGAATTTAGTTTTGCACCCCATTGACTTTGTCATTTGCAATTTTAAAAATATTTGGAAGATATCTGTAAAAAGTCAAAGTTAAAATGAAGTTATATCTGTTTGGAATAGCACTTTGCCCTAAATATCATTTTTTGAATTTTCAAGCCTAAAGATTTTAAAAAATATAAATAGTTACAAGTATTCTTATACATATTTTTTCATCATAATCACAACAAAATTTTGTTTATGTGGTTCTGCAATATAATTCCTGTGAAGTATTATAAGTATTTATGAAAAATGAGCATAATGATAAGGACTTTTAAAGATTTTGTATGGGAGATTTGACTTTAAACATGCGTAGATTTGCATTTTGCTTTCTCTTTTGAAGCAGCATTTTTAGAAAAACAGTAAGAAAAATGTACATCTTAAGGTCTACTATTTTACATTTATACACAGAATTTTACTGTTAATGTTCCATGTGCCTATACTGTTTATTTCAAAACTGAGAAATTCATGAGAATGGTGTATTTTGTGGAATCAAGAACAAAATTGTAGTGGGATAATTTTACATCTTAAATTTTTCTTTCTACTACCCTAAGTTCTACTTTGGAATTATCTGAGTAGAAAAGCAGAAGACATGATCTAACTTTGTAGATATACTGTATGATTGGGTTCTTTGTTCAGATTGCAGTTTCATTAATAGATGAAATATTTATGCTAATATTTTCTTATTTCAAAAGCAAAATAAAATGAGTTTATTGTCCTGTGTTTGGAAAGACATTTTTCCCTTGGACAAGGGGTTTGGATTGCATGGTGAGTGGACCTGTCTGGATCATGCTAAGATGTGGGCAGCATTTTAAGATGTGGTGAGTAATCAAATGATTTACAAAAACCAAAAGTCTTGATTGAGTTCTTCCAGTGTGTGAGCTATTGTGCCAGGCACTTCCTATGCATTGTCTCATTTAACCCCCCTAGTGACCTCTATTATTATCATTTTGTAGATGTGGAAACTGAGGCACCAGTTCCCACAGCTCGGTATCCACTGCATTCCTCTAGTGTGAAATCCTGTAAAACTGGGATACTACTGATGCTGAAGCCTGTTGTCCTTCCCCTGTGCCTACTTGGGTCATCTTATGTGGGTTCAAGAATGTGTTTGGAAACAGACATTCCCGTGGGCAGATAAAATCCTGTGGATTATGCTTCAATCTTCTAATCAGTATTGAAGGAAGATTCTAGATTGGAGATTTCCAAGAGTTTTCCCAAGAGATTCTATCAAAACCATTACTTCCAAGCTCAGTGGTTTAATTTGCTGTTGATTGATTCAGGCTTCTTTTGAAGAGCATTTAGTGTTGGGGGGTGACCCAGGCTTATTTCGGGGAGCATTGAGGGTTGGGAAGCATACTTTGTCCCAAAAGTGAGTTAGTTCCACTGTTTGTCTTCCATATTACCAAAGTCGGGCTTTCTCAGTTAGGAGCTGAGTTATTTTTGAAGTGCCTTCACCATAGCTGTGATAATGAGAATGATAATGTCTATTTGGCACTCCCCTTCTTGGTCCCAGTAGGTCTAATTCTGAAATTGTTTATTGGAAATGAAACAGTACAAATTAAGAGTAGACATCTGAGTTTCTTTTCTCACACATGAAAGTTTGAGTTTAAAAAAAAGGTGTTTTTTTAAAAAAATAACTCTGTCAAACAATAGATTTTTATCTGTTGCCAGGTCAGCTGCCAATGACAGACGATTGAGATTTTGTCACATAGCATAGAAAACTATTTGGTTGGGGGAGTGGGAAGATGTTAAATAATGATAAAAGGACTGACATTTAAGGCAAAACATTGTGGTTATAGTACTTTTCAAACATATACAAAAGTAGATTGAGTAGTATATTCAATGTACCTATCCCCCCACATCTACAACTATTTACCCATTATCCTCTCCCTTGATGAAGCAATTTGAAATATATTAACATGTGAGCAGCACATGTTTCTTTCAGCTGCCAGGGAATAACTGAACTGGCAAGAATAATTTGTTCATGCTAATAGGGGACACGTGTGGTTAGTATCACTTATTAATGAGCCACATCATTACTTACAAAGCTGATTGGGGCCCCTTTCTTGCTATGGGCTTTGAGTTTCTCAGTTGAAGATTAAAATGTTCTCCTCCTATTCCCAGCACCCTAAGGATCCATCTACCTGAGGTCTAGAGCTGCTTTAAATTAAGTCAAAAGGGCCTTTTATTTTCTCTCCTGACCCAAGAGAGTCAATCCAATGACAAGAGATTAGGAGGTTTAGATGAGAGTGATCGGTACTACTCTCATTATTCCTCTTAATTGTTTAAGGGTCAGAGGTCATTCTGAGGGATCTGGGACCTAAGATTGGTCTAGAATTAAATAAGAAACTTTATTTTTGATATTAAAAGGCTTTAGATTTAGCATTTCTAATGCAGCCCTTTTCAAGTTTTTCCATAAAAATGTTCCTTTTGTGATGGCAAATTAGGTCTTTTCTCATTGACCAGTGTAATGATGGAAGAGTTCAAGGACCTTGTCCTAGGAAAGATGAAAACCTATGCTCATGCTTGGATAGCCTATTTTTGCAACTGGGGCCAGAGGAAGGTGTGGATATGGGTCAAGGTGGGGAAGAGTTTGGGAGTGGGAGAAAGGATGTGGACAGCCTCTGTGTTGTTACCTGAGATTCAGCCCAAGTGCAGGTGGATGAATCCAGAGATCTGACCCTAAGTTTCTAAAGCTCAAACAGGAAAGAGCAAAGCCTATTTCAGAATCACAGAATTTACAGGGCTGGTATGAGCATTCAGTGCCTACCGTCATCAGGGTTCATCCCTCATACTCTGCTATACTCTAGCGCCCAGTTTTTCTATTAGTTTCTCTAAATACCAAGCCTCTCCTTTCTACCCCCCACCTTGGGGCATTTTGCACATGTTAATCGCTATGTTCACTCTCTTCTCATATTTTGGGCCTCAGTTTAAATGTCACTGCCCTAGGAATCCATCTTTAATCACTGCCCTCATCTAAATTATGCATCCCTCTCCCACCCCTACCACCCACATTCTTCATGCTCATAGCACTATTATTTTCCTTCAAAGAACATCTTTTAGTTACAATCATATATATTGATGTGTGTGTTTATTTTAAAATTTCATCTGCTCCACAAAACCACAAGCTTTCTGAGGATAGGGATCATATTGACTTCTTATTCATTATTTAGAGCAGTGCCTGATCCAGAGCAGGCATTCAAAGAATACTTGGTGAATGAATAAATGAGTGCAAAGAACAAATGAATTTGAAAAAAACTGCTAAGAAGAATTGTAACACTAGCAAGAGTGGGGCTGATTGAAGGGTTGGGGTGCAGGTTGGTTTGGGTGCAAGTTGCTCTTGTATCTAGAACAGATAGGATACATTTGATGTTCCTAATTTAGTGTGTCTAGATAGGACACCTTGTTAGAAATGTCACATAAATAGTAGAGGCTCTGGAGCCTTGGCCATTATGGAGCAGGTTTCAGAAAGGGGATAAAAGTGGCAAAGGGAAGAGTTGATCAAAAGATATTAAATAGCAAACTTTTGATTGAGTTCTGAATGTAAAAAAAGATACTACTGCGTTCAATCCAGATAGGCTTAATTAAATAGCTGTTGTGCACAAATGAATGGAAACCCCAGGGAAGAGGAGCTGTTCACATGAGGGAGCCCTGGAATGTTGGGAAAAGGTGGATTGCACCTGCCCCAACCATGAAAAGATGAGGTTTCAGTTACAGGCATCACACAAACTGCTTTAATAAGAAATCTTTGTGCCAGGGTTTGGCCAGGTGCAGGAGATGTTTCTGACCGGAATCTTTTTCCTGACCAGACCTATGGCTGCCCATAACTCATAGGTCATCGCTGAAAATTAGACAGCATGCTGGCAGACATTTTTAAGAGATGGTGAAAGGAGTTGTCAACCAACTATTTATCAAGCACCTTTTTGGAATCTGGAACCATGTTACATACGGTGGAGAATTAAAAATACACATAGCACCCCCCCACCCCGCCCCGTGATCACGAGTTTACTACCTAATTGGCAAACTGAAACCAAATCAGGTTAGAACAACAAGGAGTTATTAAATATTGACCTGAGGCTAAAGGCACATGTAGTACTTTGAAGGTTAGGAGAGGAAGAATTCATTATGGGCTGGAAAAAAATTTGATTCTGGGGAATCTGACGACAGGATTGAACAGATTGGAATCAGCCCTTACTCTTTTCAGGGCAAGAGACTGGGAGTGAGGGAAAGAGATGTGAGGCAGCTGCTTTGTGTGGCTCCTCGAGTTTCCTGCAGGCATCTCCAGCCAATGCAGAACCAAGCACACGTGGACATAAATGTTCCAATGACAGGTCCATAAAGGTGTCTGGGACTTTTGGGGGCTGCAATTGCCTTCTTTAAGTACAAAGCAGGGATTTTCAGGGCATGAGGTTATACTTCAATATTCATGTCTCAACTGTAAAAGGGTGTCATTCTCAAGGGTCCAAAGCTTGAACAGCACAGAAAAACATTTTAAAATTGATATGTTATGCAGCACTGCCATCTGGTGGAATTCCTGAGAACACTTCCTAGGAGCTGGGGGTCTCCAACTGTTCAACTCCCCACGGCCTGGCTTAGCACAAACACTAAAGTTTGTTATTGTTTCCTCCTCTTCCAACTCCCCACTTGCTCGTTACCCTTCCCAAATTTATCCTGTTCCTCTTGCAAGTACAAATATAGGGATAAAGATGCTGTGTTGCACTTTTCAGCTTTTGGTTAGCTATGTCACCTTTCTAATGCGGAGTATCAAAATTAATAGGAATGATGACGTTGACTGGCTTGACTAGGGATAGCCATTGGTAAAATGTAATTTTAAAAAAATTTGGAGTCTTCTGCCTTTCTCAGGAACCCAGATTATCAGCGTTCTCCCATTCTTGTTCCTACTTTGACCCTTAGTAATGTGTTAATTTATTTGATGTTAGTTGATAAAGGAGTTAAAGTGTGAGACACAGAATCTCAAACACATATCAGAAACCAAATGTTAGAAAATGTTGAAACCAAATGATGTAGAATGGATTCCATGTCAATTTAAAAACATTGAATGTTGGATTATACTATACATCAATTATGACAAATTTAGTGATTTAGATTTACTTTAAATGTGTAGTACATGTGAAATTATGTGAGGATTCTATTTATTTGTGACTGAAATTGCTTTCAAAGGTGAGTGGATTATCTTAGAATGAAAGTTCTTTTGTAGAACTGAGCAACTCGATGGATTTGGTTATGCATAGGTGAGTTGTGGTTGAGTAAGAGGATAAGAGAACTGAATTGCTCTGTTTAAGAAAAATGGAAGAATAGTTCTGAAGGGTGAAGAGGAGACAGGGAAAGAGGCAAAGCTCAGAGTCATGGAAAGAGGCAGGAATATCAATAAATGGTTGGGGGTCTTTTCTTCTTTCCTTTTTCTTTGCTCCCTCAATTCCTCTTTTTTGCTTATTTCTGTCTCCCCTCTCCCAATATCCCTCACGCTCACTTCTCTCCCTTTTTCCGTCTGAAAAACAGGGATTATCTAATATTAACTTTAAAGTTGTAGATTTTGTGTCTCCTGGGATCTCCTCCATAATGGGCTTTTATATAGAAATGACCTGTTAGTGATTTTAGTTTTGGTGTTTGTTTCGGTTTTTATATTTGTTGTGGTTTGTTTGCTTTGGTGAGATTGCTGGGATTGATGTGGTATGGAAAGGAAAAGCATGTGGAGAGAGATG